GTCAAAATCTGCAGATGTATATAAACATCTACACAAGGGATAAGTGTGTATGTAGGCAAGCAAATTTATATCTGATGGGAAATTTGCTTGTAATACATCATTTGTTAATATTAGAAGATGCTATCACAAAGACAGACGTTTTTGCATGATTACATCTGTTCTTTTTTCAATGATGGATGGGGGGGATTCGTTTCTCTGGGTTTTGCTAATTTTCCACCAAATCTTTTTTTATTGTCTTTTACTTTTTATGTATTTTCCTAAAATGAATCCAAATTATTTCTCTAATGCATTCAATAATTGGAATCCCAAACAATTTAACCAGTATTTACATCTAGTTGTATTATTACCATTTTTCTCTTTCAAGAGCTTTGTTTTTTCTTTTGCTCTTGGCTTTTGTCAACTGTAAAAACAAGTATTTTTGAGTTTTTAAGTTTGGTGGTAAACCTATTTTTCCTGCTATTTTATAAAAGAATGGAAATTTCTTTTCAACTGTCCTCAAATTGTGTGATACTAGCTTGATTTTCAGATAGGGCCATTTTTTAAATTGTGATATTTGAATGCACCAACATTTTGCAGTGTATGTATTTCACTCCTTTTTGCATTACAGATTGTCTGCTCCCAGCATGCAATGACCTGCTTTTCAATTGCAACATCCCTGTTTGATCTTCACCATTAACCATTAGACTTTTATTTATGACAGAATTTTCCTTTTAATTGCTTAAAATGTTATTTTCAACATTTATTCCTTTTGTAAGACACTAGTCACCTTCCTTCAATTATAGATTAATGTACACACTGTATATTAAGTGCCAACAACCTGACTCCTTCACAATTCTCTTGCTATAACACTAAAGTATTTGCTGTTTTGTGGTCAGTTGCTAAAATCTGTTGACAGAAAGCATTCAATTTTGCAAAATGGTTTTCAATGCAATCTACAGAAAAGATATGGAAGATTGAAAAAGATTGTCTCAATGGCACACTTGCATAATGAGAACTTTTATTTTCTGTGAGCATTGGCATGTGTTATACTGGATAAACAATAATCAAAGTATTGTCAGGACACTTAAACCAAGTGAAATGCACAAACTTTTTTTGTAAAACTTTCAACTGCCAAAAGCAAAGAATAAATGAAAAGGAAAAAATAGTCTGCAGTGATTGGTTTAAAATTTCCTTAGTGTCTTCCTTAAGATAAAAAACATCTGAATAGTCAAAGAAATTCTTTACACATTCATTTTCTTTATACAATGTTTTTCTATAAAAAAAATTATTTAAATGTTTGAAAAAAATTGACAAATTTCCAGTGATTTTTATCTTTTGAGTGACCCCCCCCCAATCACCAAATTTTTCCAGAGCATCATCACATTGATATTTGTGGGCATAAAAGAAATTGTTTAAACCTCCACAGCCACCCAAATGGCTTAATCTTATTAACAACTTGGCCACCTATAAAATAATGCCACCTCATTTTCTGAAAAGGCCATTCACTGCCCTTTTTTCAATAGACTTATTTATATGAACAACAATAAAAAAAAACATCTGAAGATTTTGCCAACTTCAGATTCTCTTTCAATGGATATTTCTGTTTGGTGTACAGAAAATTCTGAAATTTCCATTGGCTTCATTCCAGATCAAAAACTGGAAATTAAAGAATTTATGCTTTCAATCAAATTTTTATTTACATTTTGTAAGTTAGACAAGCCTCCCCAACATGGCAGAAATTAAAGAAATGTGAAGGAGTCTCAAGTGAAATGGCTACCAGCATTCACCAAAATTCTGAGTATCATTTTTCTTGTCCTTGTCCCCCCCCACTACCAACAGGCAATCTGCTCCCTGAAACTTCACACAGCTACCACTTCTTCCACCCCATGTACAGAATCAAAACAAAAAAACAAGAATTTTTACAGTGCACCAGATGCAGTCTTAAAATTTGTGATAAATATTTACTTCTTTGCAACCGTTTTTATTGCCAATCTCATTGTTATTTCTGTTGTAAATAGAAATTAAATTGTTTGTCCGTGTAAAATTTGGTTGCCAACCAATGTGTGCCAACCAAACCAAACCAAACCAAACGTGCAACTTTCCATAAATTTTCTCTGCACACTGCATGATGGCTACAAAACTTCTCAACACTTTATAAAATATCACCATTTTCTTTTTGTTTTTTTAAATGAATATCATCTTTGGAATTTCTTAGTGATTGACTTTGCCTAGGAAAGTGAGAAGTTTCTGTATTTTGGAAGCCAGACATATTTAGTCTTTTGAGAATCTACCGGCTAAAAATAGCAGTGACACTTCTCCTTTTGGCTGTGAATGGCAAGCAAAAGTAAAGGCTTTGCAGTTTTTACATGGATTCTGCAGACAGTTTGATGTGACTGCATTTTGCAAACTGTTCAATAGGGAATCGTGTTATGGTCACATGACCACTGATTATTTCATGAAAATTCTCTACTCATCTAGGTTAAAGTGAAAAGTAATATTTGAAATTTAAATTCACTTCTATAATGATTTGTAAATGAAGAGAATCTAGTGACCTGTTTTAAGTGATGATTTGAAGTTTTAACTCTAGGGAACAGCAGCATTTTCCCCACTCAGATTAGTTTTGTTTTAGATTTGTTCATGATTTTATTTTCTGTTTCTTAGGAAATAGAAACAAATCAATTTATAAACTCTAAGCAGGTTTAGTTAAATAAAAAAAAAAGCAGAAAGTTTCTACTGAGTCTCATTAAATTATTCCTTCTCATTTGCATTTTAGGAAAATTCCATCTTAATTTCTTGCATCCAATGTTCAGCTAATATTGCAAATTGGATGCAATAGATCTGAGTTGTTATCTATTACCAAAAATTCTCTACTGAACAGATGGATGATAGCACTTCACCAAGGCTGTTCTATGGCCCAGTGAGAAATGTTTAACCTTCATGCCTGCAAAAAGTGTGTCAAAAGGATAGTTCTTCCCTTGATACACTTTTGACTCTCAGCAAGGTCTATCTATAAAAATATATAAACCAAGTATAATGCAATATTTATTATTTACCTTTTATAAAGATTTATTTACCATTTTATGGAGAAATTTCAAAAGAAATATTTATTCAAAAATTTATGAAAAATTACAAAATTATCAAAATATATATAAACCAACAACAATGCAATATTTCTTTACCATTTTATAAATAACTATGAAATCTAATCTAATCTTAATAAATAATGTTTAATATCTTTGTCAATTCTCAAGACTAAAGGAAATGTATAAATCCATTTTCATATTTGGGTTTTATTAAAATTCTAATCATCGCTTTTTGAAATAAATATTACCAAGGAAGTCAAAAGAGAATGAATAGTGGTGTCAAGAGAATAACTATCCTCTTGACACAAGATATTTTTACGGGCATGAAGGTTAAACATTGCCTCCCAGTTAATATTAACAATTCACAACGAGGTCTTCTTTTCATATCATTTCATTCTCCACTAGCTCCTGTTCCAAAGTGAATGTATCGATCTGGGTTTAGAGCCCACAGTAATCTTTTCTGCAGTCATATGAAGATGCGAAACAATGGCTGACAAATTGGATGTTTGTCTGCAGCACCAAATGCTTTTGATTGGTCCGATTTTACTCTGATCATCAGACAAACTTTTGCCTTCCCCTCATTTGTCTGCAGGACAAACCCGAACAGATTTTTCTGGGCTACATCTCATCACATATTAATCAATGCCTTGCTATTCAAAGCCACACATCTTCAACAAACAAATCAGTACTTGAACCTGATTTACAGGTTTAAAATTGGAAGAATTTATTTGCTAAGAAAATGCAGAAATTTGGATTCTTAACAATTCAAAAGCAAAAAACTACAAACAAAAATATATTTCAGGAAGAGTCTCTGTTTTGCATATGTGCGTATGTATGTATGTCTGTATGTAATACACATTCTTTTGGATAACCACCAATTTTAATCCAAGCAGCTTATTATTCCCTGTTGCAGATGTAAACTGTAGCTGGAAATTGTGAATAACTGCAAAGGTTTTACACATTTGAACCAATAAACAAAATAAATTTAGTCAGGTGAAGCAAAGTTGATTAACCTTGGGACTCTGAAGTAAGGAGCCATTTGTATTTTCACTTGGCAAAATAAACATTCGATGGTGATTAAAAATGACAGATTGAGTCCAATTTCCCCAAATGAAATTCTAGGATTACAATCTGCTTGGATCTGTTAAAGTCCCTTCATTTCTATACAAAACTCCCCTGCTCAGCTTGCCTGAGTACATTCCATAAACAAGACAATAATACTAAGGATGTCTTCCTTCTCTATGCATCATGCACATAAAAAATGAAAAAGACTTTTTAGATTCAAGTTGAATGTTTACCTATTTTTAATGTTACTGATGCCAGATATGCACGAATTGTTTTTTATATAAATCCACCAAATCTCACTGATTATACTTTGTAAACTATTGAATCCTGTTTTGTGGCAATAAAAAATACTCAGGATGAATGGAAACACAACTCTTCTTTCTTTTTCTTATCACATGTATAGTTTGGAAAAATGTTACATTGATGTTAAACTGAAAAATTAGACTTTTTTTTTTCTTTGGAAGAATGAAAATCTTCAGATTTTTTTTTAATTAAGTGTTGTATTTTTATTAAAAGTTATCTTTGGACATTAGAATCATTTCCAATGTTGAGTCATTTGATAGGAAATTTGGAATTTAGGAAAGTTTTCAAATGTTACAAAGTTTTTTCTGCATTTTTTACTTCAGCTGAACTGACACTGAAAAGTGTCAATCGATTCCTCATCTGTGTGAGATTGAATTTTTACATATTGCATTGTTTGCATCTTGAGAAGTTTTCAAATTCAAACTTTTGCAAAATGTTATATTTTTGTTTCCCTCCTGTAATAGCAGCATTTTCTCAGGAGTGAATGTTGCAAATTTAGCAAGTGCCAAATATACACAACGCTTGTATTTCTGTTCTTCTTCAGTTTTTGTTGTAAACTTGCAGAACTGTTCAAAGCACTGATGAGAGAACTGGGAACGGATTCTGCTTGCTCACAACCAGCTTCTGGTGTTGATGTGAAATATAACCCTTGACTTTGTTCTACAACAAAAGAAAAAATGGTTTGGAAAGGAAAAAAAATACTAAGAAGAAAAAGAATGAAATAAGTAATTTGGCTGAAAACTAAAACAGAATTCTTCAAATATGGAAGTGAAATGCAGTATTTTGAGGCCAAATTAGTGAAGCCCTAAATAAGTGATGATTTTGACTAAATGACACTTGTGCAAAGTTTAATTTCTTATGATTAAACTGTCCTACAATAAACTTAATAACATATATAAGATTATTTGTAAGGAAAGACAAGGTGTCAGTGAAGAAAGCATTTACATAAAAAAAAATAACATTTACAACTTTTTTTTTTATATCAGTTTATTCAAATTGATATAAAAAAGTAAAAGTTGTAACCATTATATGTTATAAAGTTTATTGTAGGACAGTTTAATCATAGGAAATACTTAGGATATTTTCAATTTAACCGATTATGCCAGTTTTGATGTCAAGCTAATTTCTCAATGCTCTTGACATTTGAAAAAGAATCAAATGTGTTACCAATACAAAGTAAATTGTAATTAAAATGGAATTAAATATTTGGAGGTTTTATTACCAAAAACTCAGAAAATAGTTACAATTAGGTTCCTAATAATTCTTTGACTATTTGCAAAATAAACAAAATATATTTCTCTTTTTAAATTCTTTCACTTACTTCATAAATCAGATTTGCCAAAATACATTCGGTCTCATCATTATCAATGTCTTCCACCTGAAAATAAAAAAAAAGATTTAGTTTTCAAGAAAAGTTTTGAAAATCAACTTGAAAACAAAATTCATTACAATAACAAGTCAAAAATAATAAATTTCAAGATTCATTACATAAAAACCTATCAAAATGTTATCCTCACCAGACAACTTTTCTGAGTTTATATCTTGAATCCTTCATTTTGCAACAACTGTTTCTTAGCTACTGAATAGCATATTGATTAAATAATAAGAATTATTCAAGTAAACTAACCTGCATCATTTTAAGAACTGTTGTAAAGGATTCAATGGGCAACTGATGGCTTTTTAGGATCAAATAGCTGAAAACAGAATTTTAAGATTACAAGCAACAAAAGAAAGAATTAATGAACAAACACAAAACTAAAATATTCAACTTTTTCAGTAGTCACATATTCAATCATTTCGATATAATTTATCTTTGTTTTTTATTAACTTTCTGCAGAGATTTAGAAATAATTTAATCTTATGAAATGTTTGAAGTTACTCTAAATAAAAATTTTAATATTTTCATTACTTGAAACTTTAAGAATGTCACTAACTGAAAAACTTTAGGAGCATCAAAATCAAGCAGTAATGGCCTTTGTGCTTTCAAAGAAATAAATAAGATAAAAAAAAAAGAAATAAAAGCTAGCAGCTTACACTTTCTTGAAGAGATTACGGTAAGTAATGATTTTCAGCTTCTCAAGAATCAGGTAAATTCCACATTTGATGAAAAATGCTTCATTACGTTGTAAAGCTTCATTCAGCAACAACAAATTGCCTGAGCTGGAAGAAAAAACATTGTATAATTCATAATAAAAGTTTAACTTTGATATAAAAATATTTTAATGAAAAATACATTCACTGTAAAAGGAAAAATGTACAATTTTTAAATTCTTTTGTATTAGCAACATATTTTCCAACTATATTTTCATTAATCAAAAGAAATCAGGCATGTTCATCAAATATCAAAACTATGATAAATTCAAAGAATATATTGGAGAGGTCATGATATCTAAATTGCTTGCTTCAAAGTTCAAGGATTAAATGTGGAGACAAACTAATCAAAATCAAATTACTGTAGAAAAAATTAAGAAAATTGTGTGTACTTTACAATTTAAACTTTTAAATCTTTTAGAGAAATACCAAATAATTTCTCTAACTGCAGAATATTACCCAACATGCAACACTTGTTAAATAAAAAAACAGATGAGAATATTACTGCTTGTCAAAAAGAATAGTTTTCTTGAGGCTTAAAATTTTATACTGAATAACAAAATAATGTAGATGGATGTGAAGCTTAACTTAGTCTGGCACAAGGTTTCAACAGTAGAGCACTTAATGAAGACTGAATTCACTAGTCTAGTGATTAGTAACCTACAAAAACATTTTGATAATCTACAGCAAATTCCCAAATAAGAGATTAAAGAAAATTATTCAGAAATGAAAGCTTTACTAATTATTATTTAGAAAAATGTGATTAAAATATTACACAATGGAATAATCCCCACTCAACAAAAGGTTGGAAAACCAGCATTTTTACTATTTTGTACTCAATACAAAGCAGAAGAACTAAAATCTCAATCAAAAAAGACATTGTATAACATTTGTTCATCTTTGGATATTCTATCTTTCTAAGCCAATTGAAAAATAGAAGAAAGCAAGCAAATTCTCACCTTACAGCTTTGGCCACATCAGCAAATTGCATCAAATCATATCTTTTCAGCACAACCACTTTGGGCATGTAACCCTGAAAAAGATCAATGCAAATCCTTCTCATATTTATATTGTTTTGGCTTCTTTATTTTTTTTAAATTTAAAATTACAAGAAAAATATGCGTTGTGGAGAATGAAGGAGGGTCATTTTCTCAAGTCAATAGTTCTGTAGCTATTATACAAGACAACTCACCAACAACATTTTTACAGGTAACAAGTAAATAAGGATAAGCCTCTTGTTCCCTCGACTTTCTTTATGGCAACGCTCAAAAGCAAAGGTAAGGTATTCTTCGGCTGAAATAACAACAAAGAGATTGGCTTCAGAACACACAAAATTATAATAATTCTTTAGAAAAATATCTCTATAAATAAATTGGCAAAACATGAAAAAGTGAAAGGATTTTCTATAAATTCCATAAAATCCAAATCATTAAATTTTCCATCAAGAAACAAAATTTCTTCAGTATTTGATTTTTGGGTATTAATTTTTTTTTTATTAAAAAAAAAACAATTAATAACTTAAATTTTCTTCATTAACAAAAAAAAAAAATAAAAGATTCATTATAATTAAGGCAGAGAACTAAATTGGTGTTATTCATTAACATTTAAATTATTTAATTCATAAGTAACTAAATAGAGCTTGTTTCTGTACAGTGTCAAAGATGCTCACCTGCTTTGAAGTCACTATCAAACATAGCTTTCCTTCCTACAAAAAATCTATAAAAAACAGTAAAAAAATAAAATAAACCTGGGAAAGCAAAGAAAATGAATATGCAATACACACTGAAAATACATTTCTATGCAACACACAAGGTTTTTTGAAATATGATCTAAAGTCAGAAATACTGCAGCAGCTAAATTATTTATCCATACATGAAGAAAATTGTTTTTATTATAAATTGACTTCTATTTCAATTTCAAATACAAATGATTCATCAAATATTCAAATATTTACCTTAACACATAATGGATAAAAACACAAATGTCAGAAAATAAGTCTTTGAGTTTTAATTCCAGATTATTCCAACATGCATTGAAAAGGTTTGAATTGAACAATGTTAGGCAGTCATCAACTTAGTATCTATGATAATGACATCACTATTTATTCCTGTCATAATGGTAAAGCTGACAGATTCAATAAGGTCAAATTGGCAGCTGATCTAAAAAATGACATTCAATCTGTTAACTGGGGCAAGGAATGGTTTATTAATTTTAAAGCCTCCAAAATGGAACTGCTCTTTTTTAATTGTCTGAGAGAATGTTTTCTTTTGCTTTCCATCAGCATGGCTAAAACAATGAGTCACTGTTGTAACCTAGGGAAGGAAACTGAATAGAATAATCTCACAAAAGTTGGTAATGAATGATAATACTTAGAAAAAGAACAACATATGCAAGATTCGTCAGTGGCACTAGAAGTAGTCAACTGCTAGAAGTGAGTCAAGTGAATTCCACAATGAATCGCCAACTGTAGACCAACATACAGTATTTACTACTGTATTTATGTGAATGGGAACATACCCATTATTGTCCATAGGTATGCTACAACAGTCACCCACCTGGAGGTCTAAAAGGGTGACTCATTGTGCCTTCTCGGGTTAATTTTCTCCACTAGCATGAAGTGGAAGGATTATATTGAATTTATTGCTAGGTCTACTGCTAGGAAAGTTGGCCCATGATGTCATTACAATTTTTCTTGCTAGAATCTATCTTATGTATTTATAAATCTACCATTTGTCCATGTCTCAAATATTGCTGTCACATCTGGTCTGGTGTTTCTGCTATGTATTTAGACATTCTTGACAAAATCCAAAGAATCTGTAATATTATTGTTCCTGACCTGGTATTTTGGCTTCAGTTACTTTCGCACCACCATAACATAGCTTCCCTGTGTCTGTTCTATAAATACTTTCATTGTAATTGTTCTCTTTGGTAACTAGACTTTATGAACTGAAGCATACTGCTAGATTGACAACAAGGTCTCATTGTCTTACAATTGAAATGACTAGATGTAAGCCTAAAAATTCTACGCTAACAGTTTCTTCTCTCACATTTCTCACTTTTGGAACTCTCTTTTGGCTTCTTGCTTTCCAATCAACTTTGATCTTCAAAAATTTAAATGCAATATTTTAATCCTCACCTTCTCCCTCCTTAAATCCTCTTTTATTATCCTCCCCCCTTAATGTTTTTTTCTTCGATTCTTTCACATTACCTTGCATCTTTGTGACTTTGACATTGCTTGGGGTGAAATGATTAAATAAAAAAAAAAAAATTTCTTTTTACCTGTAAGTAACAAGTTGTGAAAGACTAAACCGATCTTTTAAAGGAGAGCTATCAATGGCTCGAATCAAAGGTTTACACAAATGAAGTTTATTGATCTGAAAAAAATTAAAAAAAAAAATTTTTGTTCCAAGATTAAAATATTTCAATTTTTCTGAAATACTGAAATTGGTTTTAGAAATACAAACGTAAAACACTTTCATAATTTTAAAGCATTAAAGAGTTACTACTTATAATCAATGAATATTCAAAAACATATTTGCTTTTCCTTTGCTATTCTAAAAATATAAAACTTACAAATCAAAAAGACAACTTTACTGCTTTCTGATGCTAATATTTCCTCATAAAGATCAGATCTTTGGGAATAAAAAAAAAAAAAAAAAAAAGAAAAAACTGTTTTGAAAAATAAACTAAAAAAAAAAATTGGAAAAATTTCTTAGATGGCCACAGGATTAGTAAAAGTCTGAATGTGAGTTATTCAGGAGAAAATATGGCCTTATGATAAATTAATGAAAAAAAAAGATAGAAACAAAAGGATTAATACATGTATACAATACTTTTGATTTGATTTATGATTTACTCTTTGTGAGTTATTAATAGCCAAAACATATTTTAAATTATAGGAGGTTGTTTACAGTACCCGGTGTTCCCAAGCAGTCCCCCATCTAATTATTAACTGGATTTGACACTTCCCAACTTTAGTGATTGAAACAAGAACCTGTGTTTTCAGCATGATATGACACTATTTAGCTATGGTAATTGGCTAACTAATTAACCATAGAAATTGAAACAAGAAATACTGAGGGTGGAAAGAAGTTATCCTGAAAGATATACCATTCGATATTAAAAAGATTTGATTTTATTTACGAAAAAGTTACTTTTCACAAAACACAGTAAACCCGGAGAAAAAGCCATATGTGAGATTTTGTCAGATTGATTAATATTGTTGTAAGAAATACCTTGCCAAAGGAAATATGAAAATTCGGAAAGAAAAGCAAAGCATTAAGATATTGGGCAGACCACATGGCAGTCATAAAAATTTCGGCCTGAGATGATTGCCGATACAGGGTAAAGAGAATCAATGTTAATCATCTTCCCAAGATATCATTTTTTTTTTTTTTCTTGAGTGCCAGCAAGACAAAAACCATATGGTATTTGTGGGAATTTTGGCATGAGAGAAAAATTTATCCAGATACGGGTGGAGAGGATTGTTATTATTTACTTTACCAAAGTGTCACTTTCAGACGCCGAGACATTGAGTAGCAATATGGTGATTATAAAATTTGGGGCATGAGAAAAGATAGCATGGAAGTATTGTGATTTGGTGAGATAAGGAATTTAATTTCTCAAGAAGCCAAGGGTTCCAGTAAAAGCTAACTTCATGAAGGGATCAGATGGCAAACTTTGACAGTGATTGATGGAATTGGTAAAGAGTGCTGGCTAAGTGGATTCTTAGTGACCAAAAGATCTGATAGATTTTAAGTGGCAACGTGAAATTTGTAAAAAATTTTGGCCGATGGGAAAAAGGAAAATTTTGTAAACAAAAATTCTGAGTTATAATTTTAAGGAGGTCAGCTTAGCCACAACCGCACAGCTAGGATGCCATTGGTCGAGTGGTAGCAATGGTGATAGGCGGAGGTGAATGGATGAGAAGGACGGAGAAGTTATAAACGCCCAATGAAGGGATTGGTATGAGATATCAATATGAGAGAGGAAGAGTTTAGGAGGATAGCTCTCCTCCAACCTCCCCAAAATGGAAAGTGATTAATTTTCGACAATACAGTACAGTACAGTTAGTTAGTTCAGGTAGCGGGAACCAGGGTGTTGCCTCACATAAGATGACTGAGAGATTCCACAACCTCCGACTTCGCCTATCCTACCAATAGCAAATTATACTGATGAACGAAGCCAAGCCAGCACCCAAGAACTAAACCAGTTGACTTAAGCTACCAAAACTTGCTTAAGAAATGTAAGAGTACCACAATCTGTAGAAAACAGGCTGGGAGGAAAACACACTCCTGTATATAACAGACGGATAAAGTTAATTTGTTATTTCTTAACATACTTGAACCTCTTGGGGTTTTTTTCCTTTTATTTGCTTCTTTTTCTTTATGCTTGTGCAATATCACCTTTAGTCTGAACTCAACATACACTACGGCCCAACGCCTGATTGATCTCATCTACCTAAGATCAAAATCACAATGTGGGTAGGTTAGACTTGAGATTGAAGCAGTTACTTCAGTAACCAGACGTTGGAAGTTAGCTGGGAACAACGGAGCTGGTATCGAACCGGGTACAACCACTGATCAACCAGGACACAGGCTGGTGGCAACAACTAAGAGTCAACCCCAAAACGCCAGTGAAAGAAACATTACAGCTTCGCGCCACAACTGGGAGTTGACCATGGGCTGACAGTGCAGTGTCACAATGAGTTGACAGTGGGACCACATGTATACAAGAAAATGACAAATAATGGATTTATAATAATCATATTTATCTTTTTATTATAAATGAAATGGGATTTTATGAAAATATGCTATTTACCTTGAAGTAGATTTTGAATAACTGATTCACTAAATTGAGCATTCCCCATTTCTTTGAATCTTCTGTTGCAGCACGACTGAAGAGAGAAATGTTAAAAATTAGATGAAAAATAAAGGAAAATTTTACAAATATAATTTCTTTTAATTGGAAATTTGAATCATAATAGTGTTTTCTGATAGTTCATTAGCCAAGAATAAACAAAAGTCTCAGTGGCCAGAGAAACACCTCATATATATATATATATATATATATATATATATATATATAGGAACCTCCACAAAAAAAAAAACACATTACCTAAGGTTCAAAATGAATTTTTAAAAAAAATCTTTCTGGAAGGAATCATTTTAGATTTAATTTCAAGCTAATGGTTTAAATTTAATATTTCCAATAAGCAAAATACTTTGCTGTATTTGAAAAACTAATTTAAATTGAATGGAAGATTTTTTTACTAAAATAGCTGATTAACACCCTTTTTTAGTCATCTTTCAAAGCAATATAATATTCTTTATTCAAAGATCTTCCAAAACTGAATTAGTTTTCCAAAACTTTATTTGAGGAATATTAGCTGATTTAAGTATAGTTAATCTGATTTGAAACAAATATTCTTTACTTTAAGCTTAAAATATCACAGAAATACATTTTTTGTGTTTTAAACCCAACAGTAGCTGTTTTGAGGTGTTGACAGCCTGAATACAGTTCTAATATTATTCTTTATCTATAAAACATAAGAAAATGACAGGAGTGCCTTTTTTATATAATTTGTATGTACTAAGTAATTTTAAAAATTTAGGGAAATATTCTCCATAATCTAATGTTTTACTGAATTTAGGAAATGTTGGCCTTAAATTTACTATAGTTATTGCTCTTATTTGATAATATTGTGTATGGTTGCCCGTACTTACAAAAATTGACATGCAAAAAAATTCAAAATTCTTTTAAAAATATTTGTATTAAGCTTTTCCATTTATGATAAGTAAATATAGTTTAATAATATCATCTAAAAGGCTGAAATTAATACAGAATTTGAAAAGTTTTAAAACTTAATAAATTTTTCTAATTTTACAATTTGGAGCAGATTTTGCATAAATGCATAAATGGTGTTTCTGTTTGGCAAAAACAAATTGATGATTTAAATTCTCCAAAGGTCCTGCTTTTAATTAATTATTTATATTAATTAAAAGCAGGACCTTTGGAGAAACTGAAATTTTAATTTTGCAAAATTTTAAAAAATTAAGTAATTAATTAGGTATTTTACCTGTCACTAGCACACACTCTGAAGCAGCCCATCAAAAGCTCAGCTGCTTTTTCTAGCTTCTCTCCACTTTTGCCCTTGCCTTTCTTCACTGTTTGAGCATCAGCCTAAAATGCATGAGAAATGAGGAAATGTTTTAACAAAAAAAAGTCTTTCTAATAATCTCGTAAAAAATGCATCATGATGAATGTAAATTTTAATCCACAACAAAAATTAATTTCATGGGTAAAAAAGAAAAGCGAGTAGAAATGTTAAAAAAAGAAATGCATAAATTTACTACTTACTCGAATAGCAAAACGTCGTAGATCTAAACAAACTTCAAACATGACAGGTAAAAACCAATTTTCATCTTTCTGACTCTGCAGAACTTTGTTGCATGCCATAATTTTGGTTAAGGATAGTAAAAAGTAAAGAAATGCATACAAACAAATGTTAGTAAGTAGAGTTAATGTAATTAAGATTTTGACGAAGATTTAATTTAAAAATAAATGTTTTTAGAAAAATATATTCATTTTTTTTTATTAACAAAAAAATATTTTAGCAAAAACATCCTTTTATTTCATCTAAGAAAAACAAAATGTTAACATTGACCAAGTTTTCTATTAAAAATTATTCAAATAATGAAATTTAAGAATTGGCAGTAAGATGAGTTCCACAACTCACAAAAACATGAAAATTAGAGACTGACACTCAAATGAAACAAATACCTACAAAAGGATATTGGACAACCAATGCTTGGCAGCCATAAGCACTAAGGAAATCATTGTTGGCTACAGCCCAGCAGCATCTAAAGAAAAATAAATTTCCATTAAAATTTTACTTACCAGTACTAGATTTAAAATAAAAAAAAGGAAACTAAAATTACTTTAAAGTTCATATTAACAGATTTCAAATTTTGAATGCTCAAAGTAAACATGAGGCTCCTTGCTTCAAGTGTCTTTTGGGACAAGTTCACCCCAGATCTCAAATGGAACTTATATATACCATCCATTACTAAAGATGCTAGAAAAATGATCAACTACTTATAGTGATTCAGAAAATACCAGACTTTATCCTGCCCTGCTCTATCTTTTCAAGAGTCAAATAAGAACAAAAATAGGAGTATGACTGTCATATCTGGGTGGTGCTACCCAATCATTTCTTTCTATCATTGAAAGAGTTCAAAAGTGTTTATGTGTTTATGTTTGTAATCAATTAATTATTTTTCACCCTACAACTCCTCTCCCACTAATGCAATATCAGCTAAGAACAACCATGTTATATACACAGGTGTGAACCATCCTCATTCCATTTTATTCTATTGGTAAGAAGGAAGTTATAGTCAGACAGCTTCTTCCCAAAAACCACTACTTCATAGAACGGACTCCTAAGAAGATACATCCCCAAACAATACAATCTTAACCTCTTCAAGCCTAGGGTCAACTGTTATCTATTGCAGGTGCCCTCATAATCTACACTTAGTTCCTTCTTCCCCCTCCAACATCCATAAGTGAGAGGACAATAAAAGAACAGGAATTAAGGAGATAGATGATAACTGACATTGCATTTAAATTTTTGAAGATCATAGTTGACAGGAAAACAAGAAGTGTGAGAAAATAAATTATTAGCATAGAACTTAGTTACATCTGGCAATTTCAACATTAAATAAATTAGAAAAAAAATCTATAAATTTCTGTGAAAGTCAAGATGTTTGTGCTTGAACCAACGATAACTTTTTCAGTGTCATAGAAATCTACACACAATTTGAAGCAGCACTACCAAACAAAACACGGGAATTTTGGTTGTGACATGATTGATTAAAAACGGAAGAAAAAGGCTGTAGAATATGTTGCAAAATTGAACAAGCAACAAATTCTATTTAAGAAGCAATCATCAATTGAAGATACTGTGTTAGAGGCAAGTTTTATGGTGGCAAACAGAATTTCAAGATGTAACAAATCATTCTCAGATGGCAAGTTAATAAAACAATGCATGATGGATTGCACAAGTGTTGTATGCTCAGAAATTAAAGCTAAATTTAAAGACATTTTATTATTGAGGAGGACTGTCATGTGATGCATAGAAATAATCAGTGAGGAGTTAACTCAACAGCTGAGGATAAAGATTTTCTATGTTATTTGTACGTGGAGTTGATGAGAATTTCCATATCACTAAAGAATTGCTGTCACTAGAATCGATGAAAAATACAACAACCAGTTAAGATTTGTATGAATGAGTGGTCAAATCAATTGAAAAAAATGCATTATCATTGAATAGATTGACAAGAATGATAACAGATGGTGCCCAGGCATTTACAAGTGTTTTTCAGTTAACATGACATGAACTAAACAATTGATCCCGCAGTATGAATTTCCTGAGAAAAAAACTAAGACATATCACTATATTAATTGAACTATATACTTAGTTCATGTCATGTTAACTGAAAAACACTTGTAAAAAAAAAAGAATTCGTGGATTTACCATATTACAAAATTCATATAAAAAGTCTCACTTGAAATTTTGAACTTTAGCATTGCAACTCGCACATTCCGATATTGTACAACCGTCAATAAATAGCACATTCTTAAAAAAACATCTTTCGGTCTACAAACAATTTATTTTGTCTTCGAGTTTTAACTTTAAAGGAAAAAAATTACAGCCCGAGGATGGAGACATGGTCTTCGAAAGTACTCACTTAAAAAATATACACTAGAAACATCTGACAACAGTTTTATAAATGAGGATCACATCATTCAATGGATTAATAGTATTTTAATGCATACATTATGTTCTACTAGCGAAGTGATTTCGCCATTAATCGCATTAATATTGCTGATTGATTCTATGTATGATTATTTCTTTATATATAAAATATATGCTGCCTAATATATATATATATATATATATATATATATATACACACACACACACACACACATGTATGTGTACATAAATATATATACACACACACACACACACACACACACACACACACACACACACACAGTGTGATGGCTAAATTGTTGTCATTTTATATTTTTAATTTTGCTCATACATGTGGTTTGTTTTCAACTTTGTCAACAACACAGTAGGGTCAGTTGGGAACTGTCTGTGAGAAAAGGAGCACCATGACACAATTTCCACCAGAAATTTGGAAATGGCATGCTGCACTGTTTGGCATTCATGCCGGAAACTTCAATACAAACATTTCAGACTATGTGTCAATCTGAAGACAATGCAGAGGATTTGGAAAGAGTTGAACGAGTGTGTGTGTGTATATATATATATATATATATATATATATATATATATATATATATATACACACACACACACACTATTATGCACTGATTTATTGTGATATTTCAGTTTTCTTCTGTGGCATTCTAACAGAATTTCCAAACAGAAGCCTTTATTCAGTCCTCAGGAGTAGATGATTCACATTTGGCTGCCCATGCTAGGGGTTATTTAGTGGATAGTCTTCTGTTAATTCATCTTATTGATGCTGCTTCTGTAGAGGTTATGGATTTCCTTATCTGAAACTGAGCTTACAACTACCAGGAAAAATGCAACAATTGTATCCACTGACTGACCAACTAGGCCATCTGTTGGGACACACAATAGCATCCACATACATTATTCTTTCTGGTGCTTTTTGTGTGTGTCATCATAGGTTGGTTGGTTGTTTTCATTTAGTGGCATTTCAACCTCTATAGGTTATTTAATGCTGAAATGAACATATTTTATACACAATTTTATTTTATTTTTGGAGATAATAATGGTTTAGTGTACAAATCTTACTAATTAACACATAGCTGGGAAGAAAAGGAGTAGATTCATATCTTTCTCAAAGATATTTGCACATAAGTGAATATAACACACCCAACTGCAATTGGAACTTAGCTCTCTGATTAATAATTGAGCCATTATACATTAGACCCCACCCACACATCCAAACTTACAGCACCTGGTCAGCCATCTCGGTACTGATCAAGCTCAATATTGCTTTTCAATGATCGTACAGGAACTGGTGTTTCAACAGGATGTAGTCATAAGCCTGTTATCATACAGGTTTTGGGTGAAAATATATTAGGAGACAAGGCACTTTGAAATTGTGTAACAATTTCCATCTGACTAGAAATAATTAAGTTTCATCTATTGTCCAGTAAGAAGACTCTTTTGCAGGATACCATTGCAGTTCAATGACATTAATTTGGTCTGTTAGATTCTGTCAGTGACCACTTCCAGCATCCTGTGCCAATGTCTTCACCATAACCATGGCAAAGCTGGCTTCCGGGTGCTATGCATTGCTAAATAGCAACCTGTGATTTGATTTGTTATGATTTTGAATTCATAGTTGTCCTTCATCTAGACTAATTGCCAGCCACTGCTAGAGAGCCCAGTTTGATTTGCTATTTGGCTAGGGATACAAGAGATCATACCTTTCCCAAGGATGTAAGTGAATATAAAGAACTTGAATGGAATTTGAACTCAGCTCTCTAATTACTCATTCCAAGCTACTATCCATTACACCAAATGCACATCCATAATTATATCCACTAGGCCATTATCCCATAGGACAATCAGATGGTATCATTTTGAAGTCTTAAATCTAATCAATGGTTTTTTCCTGATCAAAATCTTTCATGAAATTTAGATTTTTGGTTTAATTACATGTGGGGAAAATTATGAAAATGGCCTACCTCGGAAACACCTGCGAATCTGTGCAATGTGCAAACTCCAGTTTGCTCAATGGTAAAAAGAACCAAAATGGCAGCGCCAATGTTTTATGCCAGACGATCTCGGACAGTTAGCGTGAAATCTCGTTGTCTCGTCATTCGCATGTAAATCGTGGTCGGTCCTTAGCTGTATAAAGCAGGCACGTTTTTGTTTATGAGGACTGGGCTTTTTGCTCGTGAGAAGGTTGGACGTGTGACACTGTTTTGCCGGTTACCCTCCTCGTGGGTTTTTTTTCTATCTGCTACTATCAGTTGAGTCGTTGTGTTATTACCACAAGCTATTTCGGCAATGGACAAGTTTGATCTAAAATTGATTCCAGAATTCGACGGCTCCCCCACGGGCCCGACTGTCGTCAAATGGTTTGAGAAGGCCGAACTTGTTTGCAAAGTGTCCAAAATAAAAGAACCTGCACTGGTCATCCCACTGAGACTCACGAAGGGAGCCTACGCTGTATATCAACAACTCTGGGACGATGCTGACCTAGAAGAGATCAAGAGTGCCCTATATACGGCCTTCGGAATAGACCCATTCATCGCTTGGAAACAGTTCGTCGGACGATGGCTCAAGTCGGGTGAGACGGTGGATGTCTACCTGGCCAATTTGCAAAGGCTGGCAGTGCCGTTTGGCGGAGCAATGGACCACATACTGGGATGCGCTTTCCTGGCAGGACTTCCCGACAACACCAGTCAGCTCCTGCAAGCGTCTTCAAGATTGGACACACTGGGAATTAACGAATTGCTAGCCAGGGCCCGAAACATCTTGAAAGACAGGGAACAGGTCGCGGCAGCCGTGAGAACGCCCGAGACACCGCGGGAGGGCCCAAAGTGCTACAAGTGCGGTGGACCCAACCATTTCTCTAGAGACTGCCGGAGCCAAAGTGACGTAGGAGGCGGGTGTAGCCAACGGACACGAGCATGACTACGCTGCTATTGCTGCAACGAGTTAGGCCGTATAGCACAGGATTGCTCAGAAGACAAGTCAGGGGACAACGTGTGCGTTGAGGGTAAACGATGTTCGGCGCTCGTCGACACTGGATGTTCCCGATCGATCGTTAGTGCGGATCAATGC